TATAAAGCATCTATCAACTCTCTTTATAACGAATCAGCGGTTATTATAGTAAAAAATTTGCAGAAGTTTTATAGGGTGGGTTCGTTATAAAAAGGCTTGTTATATCCAGAGTTGACTGCATATGATTTTTATTATACGGTCAACTCTTTCTATAACGAGCTGTTGGTTCTGGAAAAAAAAAGTTCATAATGGAAAATTACTATGTTTTCTTAAAAATCATAGCTCTTTTTATCCTGAACCATTATAAAATTATGAAATTTTGAGTTCCTTACCGATATACCAGAATTAACTGTATTTAATGAATTTTCACACTGATATTTGTTTAACTCCTAATGTTATTCATAGCCACGTAAAAAAATAAACACAGCCTTAAAATGGCTTGAAATCACTATTTCTCATCAAAATTTCATCGATTGAGATGTTCTTTTCTTTATCAATCTTGACCCTTTTAATTATAACATCACTTTGGTTAGAGTTTTTGATTTTTTCAGCACGAGCTGCGTCTTTAATCTTGTCAACGATAGTTGTTTCGTAACATAAAAATACTTTCGAATTTGTTGCCGCTTGATTGATTGCAGAGAGATGATAATCGTAATTTGTTACAAAAAAAACAACGAATTCGGATTGTTGATGTTCCAAATCATTAATTAGAAGGATTATTTCATTCTTTCCGATTGAGTTCCAATCTCTTTTCACGTAGTGGATAATAAAGTTCATATCCTCATATTTTCCAACAAGCACAATACGATTGTCAGTATAGTATGCTCTATACTTGATGCCGTTTTTATTTAGCACGTCCACTATTTCAAAATCCTCCGAGATGCTACTCTGTAAAGAAAAAAAAAAAAAGTAACAATGTTATCATCGCACCTTCTTGGATAGGAATCCAGAAGATAAAAACCTTCACGGGCGACTTCCTATAAGAATGTGCATACAGGACTCACTTAACCGCAGCATGTCTCGCATTTCTATCATGCTAAACAAAATGAGTGACGAAGTTATCACACCTTCCTAAATAGGAATTCAAGAGATAGGAACCTTCACGGGCGACTTCCTGTAAGAATGTGCATGCAGGACTCACTCAACCACAGTGTGTCTCGCATTCCTACCATGCTAAACTATCATCATCACTTAATAAACGAACTCAACGAACAAAAATGCTCACCTTATATTCTTCATTAAAATTCATATTAGATACGTCAGAGTAATTCTCATTGGATATGTCAGAATAATTTATGTTGGATGTGTCAGAATACTTCATGTTGGATGTGTTAGAATGATTCATATTGGATATGTTAGGGTAATTCTTATCTTTAGGTGCGTTTTAAGCCATATCTTGGAAAGAAATAAAAATCTGTTGTTGAAATGAAATATTTATATACCTGCCAATATCGATATTGCCTTGTATCACAGGAAAAAATCGAGATGTTTTCATGAATATTTAATTTCCTAATTAGCATGTATACATGTGTTCATCATGGGAGGGCTTTCGTCTAATTGGCTGATGTAAATTAATTACTCGGGTAACTTATTTATATACCTTAACGTTAAAAGTACTTATTGGAAACACAACACCTCACTAATAAAAATCACCATAAACATCGTTTGTACATAGCCTTAACGAAATGTCAATATTCACTGAAAAAAAAAAATCAAAAAAGAATCAAACTCCCGAAAAACTTTGCTTAGAAGACAAAATATACTGCATCACGCAAAGGTTATATTGTAAAGTAAATTGTTTTTTGCTTAAGGGAGTGCTGGGGCAGTATGATAGAAGTTCGTTTTAATTGAACACTATTTGTTTCAGGAGAGACCGTCCCAAATTAGGGGGTCGTCTAAAGCCAGATGTGTTCACGTGACCAACAGCCAATCAAATAATAAATTTTGATTTACTCGGATCAGCCCAACAAAACAAAAACAAAAAAAAAAAGTGAAAAACACAAAAAATAAAGAAAATGAGTATCTAAACCTACCTCGGGGCACTAATAAAAAATGTCGGGAAGGCAATTTTACCTATAAGCCTTGCCCTAACCTTAACCCCTCGCCAACCCTTACCTAATATTAATTAAATATTAAAAAACATATAAACACACCTGGCTTTAGCCATCCCCCAAATTAGGAATTATTTACCCGAGTCACCCGATCGTCACACAATTGATAAACAATTTTTTTTTATGTGAAAAATATCACATGTTGATTAACCAATAAAAATCGTAGATTTTAATAAAATAAAGAAAATCGAAATAATTAAAAATCGAAATTTCACTTATAAAACTAATTATACACTTATCCGATTGGTTTGATTGGCCAAAATCACGTGACTATCACTTTTTTTGGATCAAGAACTCACTGATTACGATAGCCAATTAAAACGTATTGATACACACAGCCAATCAGACGGTCTTCCTCCAACGAGCAAACTGTCAATTTCGATCTGTACTTCGTACCTGTTGCGTTCAAAATGGCGGACACACCAGAATCTCAGGAATCAGCTATTTCGACCACCGCCAAATCAAAAAATGCTGACAAAAATGAAGCGAAAAGAAAGGCTAAACTCGAAAAATATGCCAAAAAACAGGAGAAAATCTCTACCGCAAATAATGTGATTTGAAATTCAGTTTTTTTTTAAAACTGTTCTACACTTACTAACCCTGTCGTGCTTATACAGATGCCCGAAGGTGATAAGAAAAAGGAAAAAGAAAAACAACCTAAAGCTGAGAAAGCAATAACAAATGAGGAGTTCATCGATAACACACCTGCTGGTGAAAAGAAAGGTACCAGTTTTATCGCGTACTTTAGCAGAAATTTATTTTCGTAATAATTCTCTCAATTACACTGACCTGTAAATTGTAAAAAAAAAAATCGATCATGTTAATAGATATGTCCAAACCTATGGCATCGTCCTATAATCCTAAAGCTGTTGAGTCCGCTTGGTACGCATGGTGGGTAAAAAATGGCTTCTTCAAACCAGAATTTGCTGCAGATGACAAACCAAAATCGGAAGGAATATTCGTGGTTCCTGCCCCTCCACCAAATGTAACAGGTTCCCTTCATATTGGTCATGGCTTGACTGTTGCTATTCAAGATACTTTAGTCAGATGGTATTTAAAGAGCTTAAACATCAAATAGCTGTCAATTTAGTATTGAAATTTTACAATCAATAATTTTCAGGAACCGGATGTTAGGCAAAACTGTATTATTTAACCCTGGCATAGATCATGCCGGAATTTCAACTCAGTCCGTTGTAGAAAAGAGACTATGGACGGAGAAACAACAAACTCGTCATCATCTGGGTCGCGAAAAATTCGTTGAAGAAGTCTGGAAGTGGAAAAATTTGTATGTTTTATAGGTCAGGTTTTTATTTTCAAACTTTCAATACTAATTAGCTGCTATTGTAAAGGTACGGGGACAGAATTCATAATCAACTGAAACGTTTGGGTGGTTCATATGATTGGGATCGATCTGTTTTTACTATGGACAAAGTATAATATTTAAAAACTCTAAATGGGAGCTCCACAGCAAACGTGATGGTCGGCTAAAAAAAATTTTTTTTTTTTTAATATGAGCGCTGCCAAGGGAAAATCTTTCAATGTCCAGTTTGTTTACTGTGTGTCGTCTAGGGATTGTGGCAAGTTGTTACCAACTATAATTAAAAGCCCAATAATAAATTTTTCATAGACGGCGTTCAGCAAACAAACTGAACATTGAAAGCCCGATGACAGCTTTTCCCTTGGCAGCACTCATATTATGTTCTAAGTAACCTAATTTTTGCAATAATAATTTTTTTTTTTTGGCCGATCTCCACCTTTTGCTATGGAGCCCGCAAATATTGTGTGTCATCTGATTTGCATTGGGCTTATATATATGAATTTCATATTTGTTCAGAAATTGTCCAATGCCGTTGCAGAGACTTTTTGCCGTTTACAAGAAGAAGGCGTAATTTATAGGGCAACTCGGTTGATTAATTGGTGTGTTAGATTAAACACCGCTTTGTCAAATCTTGAAGTTGAGAATAAGGAATTAACAGGACGTACACTCGTAACAGTACCTGGGTATGAAGAAAAAATAGAATTTGGTGTTCTAACGTCATTTGGATACCCTATTGAAAACTCTGGTTATTTTGCAACCTTATTTTTTATATCAGCTTGTCTATTTGTCCTGTACATGTTTTCAATATATATTTTCATCAATTTAGACGAAAGAATAATTGTTGCTACAACTCGACCGGAAACGATGTTGGGTGATACTGCAGTAGCCATCCATCCTCAAGACGAGCGATACAAGGTTTGGTTTTAAATAACTACATATCTGAACATGATTCAATTTTCATATGCTTCCTAACATAAATTCTATTTTTCACTAAGCATCTTCATGGAAAATTCGTGATCCATCCTTTTAATGGCCGTAGACTACCAATCGTTCTTGATGATATTGCTGTAGATATGTCCTTTGGAACGGGTGCCGTAAAAATCACCCCTGCACATGATTTTAATGATTATGAGGTTGGGAAGAGACATAATTTAGAGTTCATCAACATTCTTAATGATGACGGCACTCTTAATGAAAATGCCAGCCAATTTCAAGTAGGTTGAATTATGATACTATTTCATGTTTATAATTACCTATTACCCAAAATTCATTATACATTTTATAGGGCATGAAACGGTTTCATGTCCGTAAATCGGTTGTAGATGCTCTTAAAGAGAAAGGCTTATTTATCGGAACACAAGAAAATCCAATGACTATTCCTCTTTGCGCGTAAGTATTTTATTCTCTTTACTAATAATTCAATCTTAATTCTTATTGTATGATTTTTTCAGTAAGTCCGGCGATGTAATAGAACCCATTTTGAAACCTCAATGGTGGGTTAGTTGTTCAAATATGGCACTCGAGGCAATGAAGGTTTGTAATAAATTGAATGTGGTAATCAAAAATGTTGGTCACAAATGATTATTAATAAGATTTTTAGGCGGTTACGGATGGAAAACTTCGTATTTTTCCAAAAACGTCTGAAAAAGATTGGTTCAGATGGCTTGGATCTATTCAAGATTGGTGTATATCTCGTCAACTTTGGTGGGGACATAGAGTCCCTGCTTATTTCATCAAGATAACAAATGAAGTTCAGGACGTAAGTAAAATATCATTTTCAATATAATAAATCAAACTTATTCTAATATTAGCTAATTATCATTATAGCGGTCCGATGGCTCATATTGGGTTTCTGGTCGTAATATGGATGAAGCCAACGAAAAGGCAAGGAAAAAGTTTCCAAACGTTGAATTTATTCTGGAACAAGATCCGGATGTTTTGGACACGTGGTTTTCAGCTGGATTGTGGCCGTTTTCGATCTTCGGTTGGCCTGAAATGGTATTTTTATGAAATCTCTTGTCATAATCGAATGCCGCTCAAAAAATTAACCTAACATTAGCATCGTTGGCGTTCTTCGTTTTAGACTGATGATTTAGCTAATTTCTATCCAACATCGTTGTTAGAAACCGGGTGGGACATATTATTTTTCTGGGTAGCCCGCATGGTTATGTTAGGCATTAAGCTTACCGGGCAAGTCCCTTTTGGTGAAGTTTTTTGTCATGCTATGATTCGTGATGCACATGGGCGTAAAATGAGTAAATCGTTGGGTAATGTGATAGATCCAGTAGATGTGATTGAAGGCATCTCCTTAGAAAAATTGCATGCTAAATTATATCAAGGAAACCTTGATAAACGTGAAATTGAGAAGGCCACGGCTGGTCAAAAAGCAGATTATCCAAATGGTATTCCAGAGTGTGGTACAGATGCTTTACGATTTGCATTATGCGCTTACACTTCGACGGGTATTGTTAATTTTTTTTTTTCCTAAGCGTACTTCTTCGTGATTGTTTAAATTTGAAAAAAAATTTTTATACAGGTCGAGATATTAATCTCGACATTCTTCGCGTGGAAGGATATCGTAAATTCTGCAACAAATTATGGAATGCCACTCGATTTGCTTTGATTAAATTAGGAACTGACTTCAAACCGAGGCTCGACGCAAATGTAGGTTATACATCCTAAAATATTGTGGATTTTAGAATTCAGTATCCAATTTACCAACGAATTTTACATTAGATAACTGGAAAAGAATCACTTGCTGAACTATGGACATTACATAAGCTTAACCAAGCCATTGTAGACACGAACAAAGCTCTTCATGAAAAAAACTTTATGAATGCTACAACAGCTGTATATAGCTTTTGGTTATACGTGCTGTGTGATATCTACATCGTATGTAATTTTTTTTTGTAATCAGGAATATCAAGAGCTCTAGGAAAAGCGTTAATTTATTTGCAATTTAACATTAGGAACTGATAAAACCACTGACAGCCAATGATTCAATATCATCAGATGCCGAATGTAAACGTTCTGCTGAAGATACGCTATATACTTGTTTGGAGGCAGGTCTTAAATTGCTTCATCCATTTATGCCTTTTGTGACAGAAGAATTATATCAGCGATTGCCTCGACGTCCGAATGACGATAATCCAACAATCGTCAAAGCAAAATATCCGCTTGAGGTATTTCTATCTTTGTAGTGAATTGTTTGCTTGCTCGTGCAAAAATATATTAAGAGCAATCTTGGTAGGTATCAGAATACCACAATCCACACGCTGAAGAACAATTTGATCTTGTATTTTCCGTTGTCAAAGCTGCTCGATCACTTATTGTTGAATATAATATTCGATCTAACGCCTCACGTAAGCGTGTCACATACATTTGTCTGTTTTTTCTCTTTTGAAAATTAATATTGCTCTATTCGTAGTTTTTATACAAGTTGCTTCCGATTCACTTGCAACGCTGTTCACCGCTCAAGAGCAAAGCATTGTCACTTTGGTTAAAGGAGCAAAATCTGTTCATGTTTTTCAACATGACGAATCTATTCCTGCTGGCTGCGCCTTAAGTACAGTTACTGATGAAATAAATGTATTGCTTTTGGTTAAGGTACGCTTAATATTTAATAATTTACAATTATCAAATAAATTTTTAATGATAGAATATCATTGTAGGGATTCGTAGATATTGACGCGGAGGTTGCAAAATTCCAAAGTAAACTTGATAAGACTACTCAAGCATTAGCATTGCTCCAGAAAAAAATACAAATTCCGGATTATGAGTCCAAAGTCCCAATAGATGTTCGCGATGCCAATGAAGCCAAGGTAGGGCAGTTAATAATTTTGTTAATATCTTGTTTGCCTTTAATTAACGTGACATATTTTTATAGCTCAAGGCTTACCAAGCAGAAGTTGACGCGTTAGGGCATAGTATTCAAAACTTTTTGAAATTGAAAGATTAGTTAATTTATGATATTAGAGATGGGCTAGTACATAGCAAAAAGGAGCATTGAGACACTTTATTTAGAGATATCAATATTTAATCATTTTTGCAATATTTAGTAATTGTTATCTCTTAATTTGTATTTCAGACAAATTTGTTTGGAAAATTTAAAAGTATTTATAATTTTTTAAATAAAATTAAAATTATTATGAAGGGTATATTTTATAGAATTTAACTAATTTTAACCAAAGGTTAAAATTAAAAGGTTTAATTATTCATAATTTAAGATATATGTATTATTGCATGCTACGTAATTATAATATCTCGTGACTGAATCGATTCGTCTCAGCGAGACGAATTGATTGGAGGTAAAATCTGATCACTGAATCACGAGATATTGCCAATACACCACAATAATACTCTACTATACTCAGTATTGTCACGTCTACTATGTCCCAAGACTTTTTTTGTAATGTTCAACGTTTAAGTACAAGAATGTCCAAGCAAATTTAACTTATATAAAATTAAAATAAATTATCTTAAAGTATATAATTATATATAAAATTAAAAGCTAAATATTTTTGCTTAATAAATTACATTAGGTTATTATAGTAAAATTTTGAGTTATTATCAATTTATTTTTTATGTAATATGTTTAAGATTTTGTCCAAGCATGTCCAATAACAATATTGACTATATTATAATAGGTCTGAACCTGTTGCCTTGCAACAATTCTAAATAAAAAAGAAATTTTTTTTTTTTTTTTACTTCTCTCCACATCTCTCAAAGGCCAGAGTTTTTATTTTTGCAAAGATTATTGGTCGCATGTGGTACTCTTTCTTTATTTAGTCACCATTAGGGTATCCAGGATTATACTACTAGCATAATTTAGTATAATTAAAATTGCTAGCATAATTATGCTAGCAGCAGAATTTAGCATAATTTATATTTGCTAGCATAAAATCTACTGAATAACAGTCTTATAAGACTGTTATCTAGTTACATTATAGTGTTATCTAGTTAGGATGTTATAGTCTAGAAATTTATATTAGATTATGTCTGTTCCAAATAGATTATGTCTGTTCCAAGTAGATTATGATCTGTGAAACCGTCCTCAGGTATGTGGCCAGTTATATAGTTTCTCTTTTCTAGGTCACCCGACTAATTAAGAGAGAAGATGTGCGATTCTACTTTTCTTGGCCTGTTTGGAGATCATCTTAGATACCATCTTGGCCAGATTCTATATTGAGGTGCTTACCTTTTTGCGCCTATTTGGTTGCCTGTCAAAATACCAAAATGTGGTAAAAAAAATATTGTGTCGAGTAGCGCAGTAAATTTGTGTTTAAATTTGCCCGGCACTATAGCATAATTCTGGCTGATCTTTAGAACACATATTTTGAGGATCCAACTTAGCATCATAGTAGTGACCTGATAGTATCTAGAACTATCGTGATACTGGCAGCAGACTAGTAGAGAACCAGAAAGGCTCTATTAGTTCGCCAGTTTTAGATCACTTCTTGGTTGCCGAGTTATTGTATCCAAAGATCAGGCAGAAATTATAGGCTGATATTATTGTTAATTTACTGCGGCTTCAGTTCTTGGCACCTTTCTTTGGTTAGTCAATTAGAGGTATAATGCGACAATACTAGCTGTCCCTATGTGTTCCTATAAGAAAAAATTCATAAGGACATCTTTAGGGACAACCTCGATATCGATTTTGGGATTCCTAGTTTGATTTAATCTATTCTTTATTACTTGTCCTATGTCCCTATGAGTCCCTATGAAATGAAAAAGTTCTAGAAAAAAAATTTGATTTTTATAGTATGTTACCTTTAATAACTGTATATGCTTATAGATATGTTTGATATATAGTTGATGTATGCTATAAAAAAAATAAAAAAAAAGTAAAGAAGTTTGAATTTTCACAAGGACTCATAGAGTCATAGGAACAGTAATAAAGATGGCTTTTCAGAGTTTTAAAAATACCAGTTTGCTATCTTGAAGCGTTCTTGTTAAGTTTTTTTGCCATCCCTATAAATTTTTCATAGGGTACAGGGATAGTTTTTATAGAGAAAAATTTTTTAATGAGTTGGTGCATTCACTCTAGCTAAAGCATGAACCCTCCGGTTTCTAAGGCTGGATCAGGCATTTTTGATCCAAGAATATGCATGTTGGATATGATCAATATATAGTAGTAAATTCTGTTCCAGTTATTAGAACAACTAGGACGGAACTGGGACAGAATTTGATATAGAAGAAAAGCTTCTTTCTTTGATTTAACTTGTTCTTTTATACTATGTCCTAGTTGTCCTAGTTGTCCTAGTAAAAATAAGAATTCTAGAAAAAATTCGTAATTCATTCTATGCTATATGTTTATGATATATACTACTACGTGTATGATATATGTTAGTATGCTTATAGGAAAAAAAGAAAAAAAAATAATAATAAAAAATCTCATATTTTACTTGGACAACTGGGACAACTGGAACGGCTATTCAAATTCCCTTTAATTTAGCTTAATATCACCATTTAGCTATATTTTTCCATTCAGATTTCTGTCCCAGCTCGTCCCAGCAAACTAGGACGGGTTTTCTGAGATGGTTTGCTGGTGAAATTTATTCTGGATTTTTGCAAGCTTTTGCTGATAATAGTATTTCATATTTCGGTACTTCTCTGCATGTTTTTTGCATATACTATATGCGGAGGATATAATTTCACCGCACTCCTTACATGGTACACATTGGGGGAATTTCCAGTGATAACTGCATCTTTCAGGTCTATAACTACCCGTCCACAGACTTCTCCGCTTCTAAGAATGTATTTACAATGATAAAATGCCATCTTTTAAGATGGTTTCTTTTTATGCTATAAATTGATGTTGGTTACTTTTTAGTCAGAAATTAATTTTTATTTTAAACTTTTTCTATACAGATTTAGTATTTCTTCAAAAAAATGTCTGATACTACTATGATCCAATCCGAGCTTTCAGAAAATTTGGACGGTCCCGCCCCATACTATTGTGGATTAAGAGCTTCTGATATAGATATATGCTTATATAAAATTCGTGATGATAGTATTAGACCAAGGAATTTTCTAGGTACAGACAATGAGGATGGTATCGAAGCCATACTCTCAGACCGTGAAGGCCATTCATTGCACGAATTTATTGGTAGTAATAAGCCACTTCGTCCTATTATAGATTTTGATTTGCCAATAGAAACACTAAATTCTATTACTTCTAAAGTTTCACGTAAAGAAGCCTGTAAAGCTATTCAAATAGCCTTTAGAGATATTTGTCTGAAAATACATCTGGAGTGGGATAAAAAAAGTATAACTATCGCTACTAGTAGTAATACAAAAAAAATATCCCTTCACATCTCTACTACTGGTATGAGGCTTAAGAACATTGCTCAGGTCGCAGTATTTACTGAACTTGTTCACAAAAAACTCCAGGTAAGATTACAGAAAAAAAGTATTATTGATAACATTGCAAATAAAAGGTCTTTTTTTTTGCGGATACTTGGATCACCCAAGTATAAGGAAAAAATGAAAGAACATGTTTGTGTAAAAAAAGCTATCCATCCCAAAGATGGAACGATCTTTGACTTCATGATTCGCCTGCCAAATGATGAATCAGAAGTCATAGAAAGCCCTCTCTTAGATGTTTCAGAAAATATAAGCAGAAGAAAATGCTCTGCCACAAGTAATATTACTACTGAAGCTGAATTCGAGTTGGCAGAGACATTGCTTAAAGAGGCCAATATTGAAGGCTATAATCTCTCATTTCTGTCAGAAAATTTCTCTGATAAATTTCTATTATCACGCATTTCTCCATCATATTGCCCATTATGTGATCAGGAATATACAAGTGATAATGCATATATTATATGAAATAAAAAATCTTATAGCTTTTTCTGTTATCGTGCAAACCAAGAAAAACAGCCTGGCATGAAAAACCTTTCGTTAAAGCTTACCATTAGCGAAACAGCTTTAGATAGAGAAAAAAAGCTTCCAAGTCCTGCAAAACTAAGCTGATCCAGAATTTCAGATCCTAGTGATTACTTTGTATAGAGTAACTTACTGCGTATATATACCTCAGGTAAAAAATTCTCTCATATGGTTGTCTATAAGGCAATTCAAGCAATGATCACCTGCATTCAGAAGAAAACAAAAACATGAATTCTTAAACATAGGAATCCGAATGGTGGATTTATGTTTGATATGGAGCCTAAACTAGATATTGCAAATTTTATAATTAATATAATAGAACTAGGGGGTGAGGTGGTAAAATTAACATCTTTGATCAATTATGCCCTCATAAGTGGCATAATACATTATGATGATGTTAATTTTCTCTCATATTCTCCAAATGTTAATTTACCAAAAACCGAAATCTTTAATCTTTTCTTAGGATTCAAGGCCAAACTGGCATCTCAAATTAATTATGATCTCGTAAAACCCATCATCTGGCATATAGAAAATATCTGGTGTAATGAAGATAAAAATCTTTCCGATATATTCTAAAATGGCTTGCATTCCTAGTTCAGTATCCAAGTATAATTCTTGGGACGATTCTTGTTTTACGCTCCCCACCACGATGTGAAAAGAATATTATCACCAATTTTATTCGAAAAAGTTTATTCAGGCCAGACCTTGTATTCTCGACTTCTGATCTAGGGAAGATTCTTGGATGGTTTAATAGCTCTATCCAAGCACGGAAACTTATTATTATGAACGAAACAGGAATGGCTAGTAGTGAAAGGTATAAGGCAAATGATCATTTAAAAGCCCTTATTACAGAAAACTATATCTCAATTGAGCGCAAAGACCTTGAATCCCAAGATTGTAATCATTTTGCTAGATTTATGATTTTAAGTAATTATGATGCCCCAATTCGAGTAGAAATAGGAGATGGGCGTATCGTATGTTTAAATGTCTCTCCCTGCTATAAAAATAATTTTGCATATTTTGACTAATTGGGAGAGATTCTCAAGCATCCTGATATGCCTGGATCTTTTA